GGGAAGACGGTACAATGCATATTTTCTCTTCAACTTATAAGTCGTGTCCATTTCTGTTCTAATATGTGTGCTTACTGGGCGGCCTTTCTTGTTGCTTCGCATTATTGAATTATAGAAAATTTGATCTTCGTCATATCTGGGCCAATATTCATGTATGATAGAACTGGAAAGCTTGTGTTGTAAACCCCAAATAAGTTTGTGACCTTGTAAATGTTGGACAAAAGAGCATAGGCGTCTTGGCGCACCACGGAACATGCAGCGATAACATGTAAACAAGGAACATGATATGCTTGAAAATCTCTACAGTCACACCAATGATCTTTTAGGTTGACCTTGTAACTTCCCATAGGCTTCCCCTCACCGTGATCCATTGTCTCTTTCACACTGAAAGATTTATGATTGTAGTAAAAATTCTTACCTGATGCGTGTAGGATTTTTTTTGTTTCTTATTTCATCACCTTCATGCAGTTTTCTGTAAATGTTTATCCAAATTTCAACATTGCACTCTATTGTGCACCCCTTTCAGCAAATAGTGATCCCGTCTTATAGTATGTTGTACTTACCAACGTGTTAATGGGCAGATTACGAGTGCTTTTAAAGACTAAATTCATTGACTCGACAAGGTTCTTTGTCATGTGACCTCAACACCAACCCTCGTCAAATGACCTCGTCTATTTTTCTACTGGAATATTGTCTAGCCATCTTAAAGTATCACCATTATCTATGTTAATTTTATTCTGGTAATAGTTAAACTTTTGATGGTTTAAAGCATACCTTATATATTATAAAAATGGGTTAATGTTATGATGTACTATTAACTAAGAGATAGTGTTAGCAAATAGATACTTATCCATGTTGATAACTTTTTTTCGGAGGTTTCAGTCCTTGATTTCCCTCATGAAATTTGTGCAATATGTCTGATACAGTAGACATGCACAAATGACAGATTATGCCAACCATTATCTGAATTATTCTATGCACTTTTGATCAATGCATGGCTGTTTGAAATCAAACATAGATCAGGTTGAGGAGGTACATGCATTCTCAAGTTCTTTAGAAAGAAGCCCCAACCATTTATCGTCTCACCTTCCACAATGGAAAAAGCAATTGGGAAAATATTAGTTATGCCATCTTGTGTTACTGTCATTAGTAGCGTACCCTTGTACTTACCATATAACTAGGTACCATCAGTTTGAAGTATAGGCTTGCAATATGCAAAGCCTCCTATGCATGATTGAAATGCTCAAAATAGTTGGTGAAACTATACATCTTCAGTATTTACCATTATTACCCGCCTTTAATAAAATAGGTAGATACATTTGTGGAGCTGCGACTTTAGCACATCTATACAGAAACTTATGTAGATGCACTAAGAAATATTCATAATTTTGTTGGTTGTGCAACACTATTTGAAGCTTGGGGATAGTCCAGAATATTGAGATTGGCGCCAAGGAATCTTAATCCATGTCAATTTCCATATGCAACAAAGTACGTTTAAAACTTCTATTTTTTAAATATTTATTTTCTATGTTTTTACTAATTAATTATTATTTCTTTTTACGTGGTCCGCATATGGGATGAATTACGAAAAAACTTCTTATCATTGTGCTCTTGGTTATTGGACTTGAAGATTCTGATCCAATTGAAAGTAACATGTGGAGTTCAAAAACATTTATAATTTGATTCACTACATTTGAAACACATAATTTAGATAGGGTTAAACTCCAATTTGACATTCAGCAAGGCATATCGGATCCTTCAAAGTGCGTGGAGGAGTATCACGAAAGTCAAGTGAGTGGGGCATTCAACATTTGAAAATACCATTACAGACAAGAGTGTCATCAATGGCAAACCCGTCATAATACTATCTTACAAGGCGTTATCATGCCAGAAGAATTTAAACCGAGTAGGGATTACATAAAGTGGTATGAATCTGTGACAAATTTGTATCTATCATCAAATAGATTCTTATTTGAACTTCGTAATTAATCAACTCACATCTTCAAACTTCCAACACCAGACCATCAACAAACACTTACACCCAACAACCATTCATTAGCACCCAACAACCTTTCGGTAATACCCAACAACCTTTCCTTAACACCCAACAACATTTCATCCCAACACAACCACCTTATACCCCAAGCCAACAATATCATCAACAACACCCTTCATTTAACCCATTTCAGTGGGACACCCAACAACAAAATCCACATTTTACTCAATCTACATCATACACCCAACCACAAACACCATTCACATTACATACCCCACAAGACCACAACTACCAAACACACTAACAACAAATCCATTTTTTCCAGTCAGAACAATTAACCTTGAATGCATCACGAGATTGTTACCACCCCTTCATAAATAGCTCAATGACGCAGGACATTCTACTCAGCTAACAAATGATGATTTGACTCGTAAAATAGACATGCAGACAAGCTCTTTCATGTGAAACTCACCAACAGTTAACACGACCCGGTCAAAATCCACATTAAATGTGATTTATTGTAATTTTTTCATTTAATAAATTATTAAATATTAATATAATTAATATTTTATTTAATCTATTATTCTTAGTTCATTTATAAATTTATCTAGACGAATAAATTAATAAATATTGATATAATTAATAATTATCTAGACAAATATTTAATTATTAATAATTGTAAAAAAAGATTAAATTACTTTATATTTGTTATATAATTTTAATTATAATTAAATTTTATTTCTTTTATAAATAAAAAATAAATTAAATATGTTTTAAACTATAGCAATGGACAGAATCTTTATTTTATACATATCCGTTATAACAATGAGCGAAACCTTTTCATTTTACTCACTTCCATCAACTGAATGGGCGTATTAATTGGTATTACTTTTCTATAAAGATGATAGGACAATAAAAAAATTCACATTTTGAATAGTTATCATCAGCTTGTTGTGGGTGGGTCCTTTTACCGGTGTTTGTGGAGTTTAAACGAGTCGGTATCAGCTCCATTTAATCTATTATCCAGTTATCCTGTTTATTTTATAGATGTATGACACATGGCAAACTAATAATTCAATGGTTAAGATTTTAAATCTAAAAAATCAGCATTTGTCGTGACCTAGCAGTATCCATGGTAGTCTCCGCCATAGCATCCACCCCTCGCCGAAGTGCCGTCGTGAGCATCCACCCCTCGCCGAAGAGCTGCCTTGACAATCCACATCCTTGCCAAAGCGCCGCTGCCACCGTATCTTTGTCTTTGATCCTCCTCTTTCTCTCAAGAGAAAATATAAAGGACAATGAGTTTTACATATATTCTGTATTTTTTCCAAAAGTTTTTGCAAAATAGTTCTCAAATCTTTGCAAAATTTGGTCAAAAGAAACTCTACAATTTTTTTCCAAAAACCGTTTTTTACTGAATCTTCATTCCTTAGAAATTACCAAACACACCATATTTTGTATATTGCCTCTTTCTTCTACTAATCTCTTTCTTCTACTAATCAAAAGGTAGAAAAACTGGAAAAATGGGGGAAATGGCTGAACAGAGGAGACACACGATGGTGAAAAAACAAGGAAGTGAGTCGGAGAGAGAACGGGGATGTTGACAACTTGTTTTATAAAGTGAATTTAGGGTTTTGATGGAGAAATCGAGTGAATTTAGGGTTTTGATGGAGAAGAGAAATCGAGTGTTTTGAGTCGTTTCAATGAAAAAATGCTGATTTTTAATCCTTTAACCTTAGCCGTTTAATTTATGATTGCCACATCGGAAAACCGGACATGTTCAACTGGAGCAGATCCATACTCAGTATAAACAGGATGGCACCTTGGAACTCTAGTCTGAATTTTAAGTGCAGTTGTCTCCGCTAATTGGCAGTCTGATGTTCAAGTCTGGTGTGATAAGCCTATGTCAAGTCTGTTTGGTTTAAGGAGTAGTACACAGGCTTTGTTATATGCATCTGTTACAGTTTATAGGAGTTAGTTTGCTCTTTGCAGTGAGTTTGATTGGTTTGGGATGTTCTGTAGTGGCTATGGGATCTGTGATTTAGCTAATGTTTGGGCAGGCCAGTTATGGTAGGTTCTGGTGTATAAAAGTTTTTGCTCTTTCAAGAAAAGCGCAAACTCAATTCACAGTGACAAGTTAACTAAGCAAGTTCGAAAATCCAAACTCAATTCAGGCTGGGAGGGATGTTGAAACCTTCAAAAGCAATTGCAGGTCTGAATAAAAATTATATTATGATCTTGAACAAAATTTAAAATTAACAGTGGCAGTTTATTCGGATCACATTGATAAAAGGTACAAATAGCTGAGAAAACTAGATGGGTGAGAACTATAAACTACTAGTAAATTCCAAAGTCAAGAACATCGTTAGTGCAAAAACTGTATTATATATCCTCCCTCCATGTTCAAAAGGAGTCATCAACATCAACAACTTCTCCATAATAACATTGTACTTTAATATCTAAATGCAAGTTAATAATAGTCTAAATACATAACCAAGATAATTGAACGATCTTCATGTTTTTTAATCAAAATTTGAACAAGTTCATGAATAAGAACACAAGAACTCTTAAATTAACCCAGCACTGCCTGCAATGGAAAGGAATCAAAACAATAATAAGTCAATCAGTCAATCCACAGAAGATATACTGAAGAACTTCCACGATGCCTAAGACAGATTATGTGCAATGTTAAAGAGGTTCATAACAGGGGTTTACAAAACTTCAGTACTTATTCAAATAACACTTTTTCATAGCAAATTTCAGACTTAACACACAGTAACACTTTTTCATAGCAAATTGCAGATTTAATGCAGTTATTAATATGTAGAACATTATAAAGACCAATTCTTAACCCTATTGAATCGACTAAACAATACTCCTAAATAAATACCTGCAAACAAATACATCCTAAATGATGTTTGGATGCCAACATGTTTAAATCCTGAGTATTTTCTTTAATACATCCCGTTCTAGGCAAATACTAAGAGAATTGTTCCGCCACTCTTTAACTAAAAATAATTCCAGGTGTGACAACAGAGTCAGATGTATTGCAATTAGGAAAGCATGCTACCGTTTTGTGGGTCTGTTTTAGTGGATTAAGGGGAAAACCAGCAAAACCAGCAACTAAAGCCATATGCAAAAGCAAGAGAAAATATAACAACGTGTAGGAGATAAATAAGATACCTACCATTAGCACTCTACTGGAATCATATGTGACGCTTTCTACTGGGCTTTCCATTACCATTACGGCGATTACCTTTGGCCATTTTAAATTTCTTCTTCAATTTCTTCCCTATTTTACCAGCAGGCTTCAAGGAAATCTTGCTCTTATTATCATCAGCCATATCCACATCTAGAAAATTCAAAAACAAACATATTTTATAACACTTTCTTGCCGATTACAAATTGAAAGAGTAAAGTAAAATTTGATAATGTGTTACCCATTCTGTTAGTGTTGTCGACCGTGGAAGTGGAAATTTCCATGGTATTGCTTGATCGGACGGGAACTTGAAGCTTGGGTGCAGCAAGAGCGGCTTCTTGGGCAGAAAGTTTAGCGGCTTCTTTCTCGTCATAGAAAGGTTGAACAATCTCTCTCCTAATAGCCCTCAGCCGCTTCTCCCTCTTCGATCTCATTGATTTCGCCATTTTGGAGTTCAAATCAGTGCAGGAAAGAAGAGGCGGTGGCTAGGTTGATGTATAATAGAGGAGATAGCGAGAGGGAGCTTTTGTATTAGTCGAAACCTAAAAGGGTAGAAATTGGGCCGGGCCATTTTCTTCTAGTGACTAATGTCGCCACCCTCCTAGTTTTTCCTCCTACACTCCCTTTTTTATTTTGGGAATTACTTAACACATCCTATAACATTCTAGCGCACCGCGTGAATTTTCGGAAATATCTTCGGATTCTAGAAATGTATTTTATCACACACATACATTTCATTCATTTTAGAGTTAGGTCTCAATTTTACGAATTTATTTATTTTGGAATATCTCTGGAAATACATTTCCAGAATATATTGTTTCAATACAACAAAACAAGCTCGAATATGCAAGAAATCGGCAAGAAAGAAACATGGTTAAGGAAACATTGTTTTGTCTACAACTCAGCCACCAAACACCCTTTTATTCTCAGCATTCGCGACAAAACTATTCAATCTCATTCCTTCAAAACATGGCTCGTTAATCATAACTCACCTATTAGAATTTAGATCTTTGATGAATTTTTTTAATTTTAATCCCTTCATATGTTGTTTTCAGACACAAGGTTACTTGTTTGTTAGAGAGTTTGTTCCATTTGTTGCAAGTGTGTTGATAACAGCTTGTAAGGAATCAGATGATAATGATGATGTTGATGTTATAGTGGAAGGTATAGGTTGCCAGACTCTGGAAAAATAACAAGTAGTATTGAAACAGTATATTCTGGAAAAGTATTACATATCAAAGATGCATTTTCGAAATAAATTAAATCGTAAAACTGGGGGCGTAACTCAAAAATGAATGAAATGTATGCGGTAGGATGCTTTTGGAAATGCATTTTCAAAATCTGAAGACATTTTCAAAAATTCATGCAGTGCACTAGAAGGTTATAGGTTGCATTAAGAAATTTTTTCTTAAACTTATTAAACACCCATTTTTCTTGGGAATTATTCAAATGCTATTCACACGCGTCAAAGTACGTCAATAATTATTTCCTTGTCCAAAAATAGCCTTTTAATTTTAAAATTCATACGCATACACAATAATTCATCTCTAGAGTGCGTTAAAGTTAGATATTATAATGTTCTGAACTTTGGAATTCATATAGTGAATTATTGGGATTGAACTTCGGACACGCCTAACATAACACACCCATGGTCAAACTCATAACCACACCATTTAAAACTACTATTAATTTCAAAGTATAGTATTCTTACGGGTGGAATTCGAATGCTTATGTTAAGTAAACTTGTCTTTATGTTTCAGTGTAGTTTGGAGAATGGAATATTATAACACCTGAGGCCGAAGAGGGCGGAGAGTGGTTACATGTAACACCCGAGGATGAGGGAATGGTTGTCGGTGCACAATGCATAACAATGAGACATTTCTAGTAGCTTCTAATGGAAAAATCGATTTCACATCAGAGAGAGAGATCCTGAGGTTGTGCAGGGAAGAGACTACATGGTTAAAGGAAGACTTATAAGGAGTGATAGGTACTATTTATACCAACAAAATACATCTTATTTTCGGTAGCCTAACAGATAAAAAAATCCATAGTTAAGCGTGCTTAATTTGGAGTAGTATTTGTATGGGCGACCTTTAGGAAAGTTTACCAGAAAGTGTGTGAGTGGGGACAAAGCATGATGAAAAGATCTGTGTTGGTTTGTGGGGCCAGTCAATAATCTTGAAGATAGTCCAGGGCGTTACAAATATGGACCCTAAGTCCAGAGGTTAGAATTTGGAATAGTCTTTTATCTGTTATTTAGTTTGTTTCTTTTTGTGCTTGTTTATGTTTTCTTGTTATGTCATTTATCTTTATGCTTGTTTGATTATAGAAAAAATGTCTGACAACTAGGAAATACTGAGACATGGTAGAGTGGCCAAACATGCTTTTATTAGCAAGGAGAAATCGAGACCCTCGTGACCTACATTTGGAGATAATTTTCTTGATGATGAGGGATTATCTTCCCCAGTTCACGTGTCTCTAGCATCATCTTCCCAGATTCACATGTCCGCTGCTGCCCCAGATGTCACAGAGGATTCCCCAAGAGGCCCTCAAACTTTTCATTGCTTCCTTTCTATCTGGACCATGTTGCGAGGCACATGTGGGAAGAGAGGTAGCATAAATTTTTTAATTACTCTTTTAAACATTTATGTTGTAATATTTGAACTGTCTGATGATGTATTTATTTTTTGTAGTGTCGTGATAACTTAAAATGTGTCAGACACAGTAGGAAGGTTGGTGCAACCAGATGATCCATAACTTCAGGATGTCATGAAGTTATCTTGGTTGTACAATTTATACTAGCCACGGTGTCTTATCTTATTTTGTGGAGATATGGCACATAAAGACAACTTCATTTCATCTTCTGATTGGTGAAATTTTCATCAAACTTAATGATGTCTCATGCCTCCTACATCTTCTGATCCAGAAAAAAATTATTAAACTACTCTAAAACTAGTAGACCTAAAGCCCGACGGGAGATGAATGACATAAAAGGATGTCATGCTATGTTTTCATTCTTTGTGGATATGTATGAACACCACGTGGTTTTAGTTATGGATAATGGTGGTGATAATGCACGAGTTGCATATCACATAACATGTGCATTAAGGTCAAACCTCTTAGTTTTGATTGGCATGTCGATTCTTGTGGACAAAGTGCAACATATGTCGTTGTTATTTACCTCAAGAATTTCGTTGACTTTGAGAGGATTCATGAGTACGTCTTAGAGGGTTTCTTTTTTGGTGTACCTCTACTCCGCACTAGCTAAAGATAGTTTATGGAAGACTCGACAGTTGATAGCAGACAACTGTCTATTTATGGTCGTTGTTTTTCACCTTTGTTGATATCAATGTCATAATACATATGTTACATTATTATTAATATTTCATTTGAACCATTTTTAGGGATGAATCCACTCGTATTTTCACCATCTCGTCGGCTAGGCATACATGGATGACTACTCTGAGGCTTTACCACGTGTGTGCTTTATTATCCTACTTAGAGGGAATCATGTGAATGAGTCATTCTGAGTTGCTCTTGATCGCATTACGTCAAATGATATTTGTTGGATGTCATACGTCGATCACCGTGAGACAGAATCATTAGAGGTGATAACCATGTACTCTGGATGGCTGGTATGTGAGTCTCAACTTATATACCCCCTTATCTACCTGGGCGAGTGTTTACAGTTATTTCTGGTAAACAGCCGCTAGTCCTCCAAACTATCGAATAATCTTACTGACTGTTATTCAATCTCTCTGGTAATTCGCAGGATCGACTAGATTGATCCTAGGATGTATTGGTCATTTGGATAACTCTCATTATAGAACAGGTATTCATGGTTGGTATTTAGAATGTTGTGTAGGTGTCTAACTTACTTCGATTACTCTATTAAAGATCTAATAACTTGATCAAGTAAATGTGCGCGAAACTAAATTGCATGAATAAAGTTCAATTGTAAAGACATGTAAAACTGTAGAAAAGACAAGTAAATGACTTCGAAGCATAAAACATGTAATGTAAAAGATTCTCTGGAATGTAAAAGATTCGAAATATGAAGAAAGCGTTTAAATGCAAGAAAACAGTAAAAATGACTTTAAGTGAAAAAAGGTGTTCGAATGATAAAAGCTTGAAGATAAAGGCATGAAATGTGCAAAAGTTTCTGAAATGTAAAGTATTTGAAATGGAAAGAAAGCATTTAAATGTAAGGCATCAGTAAAAAGATTTCGAATGAAAATGTGTTAATGCAAAGGCTTTTAAATGGTATTGACATGAAGATAGAGGAAAATACTGGAAATGATAAAGAGTTTGATTAAATCATAAATACTTGGTGTTATCATACGTACATTGCTCGTGCATTCGTTTCCCTAGCCATGTGGTATTTTGAATGTTTACTGAGTTTTTTGTACAATAGATATGACACACGAAATCCTAATGCTAAGACTTCTATTTATACTACTTCAACCATAATGGTCTTGCTATAAGATTCTGCCACGTTCAGAACATGCAAAGCAATGCCTCTCTCTAGCTTCCACGCGTCTTCGAATGCTCCAGCGCATATATTTTAAATTTCGAACATCCCGCTTGCATTTGAATTTCAAATGTTTTGGCACTTCTTCGCTTCGAACGCATTTCTTGGACACAGCCTTATTATTATTTCGAGACTTCTTTGAATATATTCTCATAACTGTCACTCGAAGCTCCAAGCTTTGATATGCCCATTCGAAGCACTGCTTCTACCATTTCGAAACATGACATCTTGCTTTATTCCAATCGAAACGTCCAATTTGCTTCGCTTCTAATAATATCATCAAAATCTTCAGCCAACAAAATGCCCCTTTAAAATATGTATTTCGATTCCTTTGAGAAATACTTATTTTAAACATATACACAAGATTTTGATGCGACCTTCGAATCATTGTAACATTTATTGCATATGACTCCAGTCACGTCAATCACAACGCTTTTCAGATTCCTTAACCGCCTTGAACCATTTCACAGCATGGTGCAGTTACAAAACAATGATTATCATTTAATCACGCCTATTACCAATATTAACTTTACGCCACCTCCTTCTCAAACCAACCTACGACTACCACGTATCACAATCTTACTCAGTGGATGTTTAAACTTCCCCACTATAAAAACCCATCAACTTAGTCTTTTCTTTTCTTCCCACATTCTGAATCTTTTCTTCCTCTTTTCTCACCGAAACCCTAAACTTCCAACATTCTTCCAACAATGTCTTCTTCAACTTCATCTCAACTGAAAAAAGCTTCCAAAAAGAAAGGAAAGAACACGGGAACCATAATGGAAAGCAAGGTTGGTACCTACCAAGGTCAATCGGTTCTTATTCCCCAGATGATCTCAAAAGAGAAGGAAATGCTTTATGCATCCCAGGTACTAATTCCTACTAACGCCGCTGGCAAGAGGTTAGCTTTAATGG